TAGCATGACCTAAAGAGTGAGAGACTGAGTCATCAATGTTGATCTTGAAATGTCTATCCAAAGGAGGCAGCTACTTCACCTGGATAAAAGTTCCCCAAAAACTAGTGTTGTTCTTCTAGTTATATCTACAACAGAAAAGAAGGTAATCAATATCTAGAAAAATTTTGTTTAACAACTCATTATTATTTAAAGAGTTATTCTGGAGGATAAAGTTATTTTTGTTTTTCCACAGATTCTAGGAAACTAATTCAAAAACTTTATTCCAAATTAGATACAAAGGAAAATTTTATTTGGTCAGATTGAATTCCAGCCAATTGAAAAGCCCAAAGCTAAAAAATGACACCTACTTGTTAGGAGGGAGATTTTGATTCTAAATGGTATTGGCAACCCAACTTTCCCTGAGAACATGAGTAATTGTTTCAGGGGCCTCCATGCAGAGGCAGCCATTTTGTGATAAAATCTTTCCTCATTGGTTAGAAGCCTACAATAAGCAACTTTCCATAGAAAAGTAGAAATTCTAGGAGGACCTTCCCAATCCCAAACCAATTTAAAGGTCTTATTATGTTAAGTATAGGTTTGATGATTACTAGAAATTAAATTATTGGTTGACTTAATTGAGAAAATACCATTGCTAGCTAATTTCTAATATATTTGATCCTGACCATTGGCTAAAACAGGGGAGTTAATGTGGAAAATGATATCACACTAGACCCAGGGAGCACATTCTTAATTTTGGTCCAACCCTGGTTACCCTAATTAGAAAAAAGGCTACTGGATTGCTTAATTCCTCCTCAGGAATAGGAGGGGTAGCACTGCTAGACAACACATGATTATCATGAAGTCAACTATCCTCCCAAAACCTAGTTGTGCGGCCATCTCCTATTATCCAGCCTAGGCCTTTATAAAAACAATCCCAAACAGAAACTATACTCTTCCATTAGAAGGAAAAATTATGGCTAGTATTCAAAGAAATGTTATTCCCTAGAGAAAAATGATACTTACTATACAAAATTTTGGCCCATAGATCATTAGGAGTTGCAATTAGTCTCTAACACAGTTTCATGATATAAGTTTGATTGACTAGGCAAATGTTTCTAAATCCTAGACCTCCCTCACTTTTAGGTTTACATATCTTGTCCCAGCCAATTAAATGACATTTCCTATTATTTAAGGATCCCTAAATAAACTTCTTACAAATATTGTTTATTTCATTACAAATAGTTTTAGGAATAACCATTGTTTGCATGAAATAATTAGGTATGTTCATAATACATGATTGAGCAAGAGTAATTTTTCATGCAAGGGATAAAGAATTTATTTTCTAAGTTGAGAGTTTCTTCCTTATTTTGTCAATTATGAAAACAAAATCCTTCCTAGAGGGCTTGATATGATTATGAGGGACACATAGATATTTACCAAAAAGAGGAGAGCTCTTGACGCTAAGGATAAGTTCAAGATTTTGTTTAATAGCATGGTCACAAATTTTAGAAAAGTACACAAATGATTTTTCTTTATTTACAGAAAGACCAGAAGTAGAGAAAAACATATTCAAGATAAAGTTTATTGTTTTAGCATTATGAGTGTCAACTTTAGCCACTAAAACTATATCATCCCCAAACAAAAGATGAGAGATTTGAGGCCAACATTATTAAAAGAGAAAGGGACCTAATGGTTGTTATTGACCTGATCTTGGATTAGATGGGAAAGTTTGTCCATGCACATAACAAAGATGTATAGGATCCCCTTGCCTAATACCCCTAGAGGGGTTAAAACTCTTAATCCTTATGTTTGTTCTAATTAATAGTCATGGATGAAGTTGAAATACATTAGTTTATGAGTTTAGAGATCTTTGACTTAGGCCAATTAATTGAATTAGTTTCAGAAATAAAGTTTCATCTAATTTTATCATAGACTTTCTCCAGATCAAGCTTTATGAACATATAACTAGACCTATTTTTAAGTTTTTCAAAAGAATGGATGATCTCTTATAAAATAAGAATGTTATCAATGCCTTATCTTCCAAGAATGACGCTAGTCTGGCTGGCAGAGATAATGTGAGGCAAAGACCCTCGAATTCTATTAGCCAAGATTTTAGTTATGATCTTATAACTAACATTGCAAAGAGATATAGACCTAAACTACCTAATATATTCATGATTTTCAACTTTAAGGATTAGAGTGATAATAGTGTCATTAATGGCAACAACTTCTTTAGGGTTATTAAAAATGTCTTAAACTAGTTTGAAAAGGTGAAGGGCTAAAAAATTTCATTGATTTTTGAAGAAAAGAGCATAAAGGTCATCAGGGTTAGGGGACTTAAAATTCCCTATACTAAAAAAAGAGTTTCTAACCTTACTTAGTGTTAGACATGACTCAATTAGATTTCTATCAATTTCCCTAGTCATTGATAGAATATACATGTTATTTGAATAATTGGTGACTCCAAAAATATCATTTCCTTAATAGTTAATATCTAGAGTAATAATTATTATTTCTATTTTGTAATTAGCAAAATTAAGACTTTGTTCAGAAGTGTTAAGTTTATAAGGTTTAACCATCTCTTTGAGAAGTAACCAAAATGTACTAACTACTACTTTTTATAAAGCTTCCCTTTTTATTTTTTATTTGGGTTTTTAACCATGTTTATTAAAAAAAATAATAGTAAAATTTTATTTAAAAAATATTGTATTTTTATAAGTTAAATATAATAAATATATTTTTAATAAAATTTAGACCTAAATATATTTTTAATCCTTAAATTTTAATAATTTTTCTTTATCCCTTCAAATATTTTTTTAGTATTTCTACTTTAACAAATTATTATTTTCCCTTCAAATAATTTTTTAATATCTATACTTTAACAAATTATTATTTTTAGTCCCACTCTTAACATTATCTAACCAAAAATTAATATATGACTGTCTCTTAATAAACTAACTCAGTAATACAAACTAAAAAATATAAATTTGTGAAAATATAAAGATAAAAAAATAGTTTAAAAGAATTAAAATTAAAATATTATTAAAATATAATGAAAATATAAAACATATTTAAACCTAAAATTTACTTTAGTAATTAAAAATTGAGATTAATAAAACTTTAATTTTTATAATTACTGAAACTTTAAAAATATTTTTAACAAGCAGTAAAAGTATTTTTCTATCAGACGACGGTTCTCTTCAGTCTTCACATTCACCAATATGTAATTGCTTCATATTAATTATAAGCTTTATTTTATTACTATTTATATCTGCAACTAAACACAGTGGAATAGTAATGTGGTTTTGTCACATCTCTTGTTAGTTTTCATCTGTTTTCACGGAGTGCTAAAAAGGCAGTGAATGAAAAGATGTACTGAAGGTAGAAGCATGTACTCATACGAGAAATTTGGTAAAATTAATAATTTATTATTTTATTTTTTATTTCTACTTTTATACAGAAATTAAATAAGTTTATATATATATATATATATTTAATTTTTTAATTATTACCATTATTATAATTGTCATTTTTTCCTTCTATTTAATTAATAAAGTTAAATATAATTAAAAAATGATCTGTTTGATTGATATTTAAAAACTAAAAAATTTAAAATAAAATAGTAAAAAATTTAAAATACTAAATTGAAATAAACAATAAATTTAAAAAACTAAAGGTCCAAACTAAAATAAAAAATAAAATTAAAAATCTAAAATGTCAAATTTATTTAAAAAATTTTATTGTAGTCTTCTTTAAAAAATTTACAAGAAATTCATGAAAACTGTTGAATAATAACATAAAATAATTTACATGATAAATGTATTTCAATTAAATTTTGTATTATTTTTATATTAAAAATCTGTAAGAAAAAGTATTATCATTTAGCTTTTGTGATTATATATATAATTTAATAATTTAACAAAATAATACTCTATTTTTTAAAACTACAGTATAATTAAATTATATAAACTTAAATATATGAGTTTAATATTAATGTATATAAGTAAATTTTTTTACATAATTAATCAATTATAATATACAATAAATATGATGTTTAAATTAAATATTATAATTATTTTGGCCATAGTTATATATTAGTTTTGAACTTATTATACTATCTAGGTATTCCAATTACATTTTTTAACAGTAATTTTTATATTATTTAAAAATTTAATTAAAATACGTTAAAAATATAATAGTTACTTTCTTTACATTAGTATTTAACTATAAATTGCCTATAATAAAAATTATTTATAATAATTACTTTAAATGCCATGTTCACAGTCATTTTTAATTAATTAATAATACACAAATTTTTATACTAAGAACATATTAAAATTAAATAATGTAAGAATTTACACAATTATCTAATTATATTATTTTATATTTTTTATTAAAAAATTTAGCACATTAAAAATATTTTTATTGTATAATAAATTTTAATAAAAATATATTATTTATTAACTTTTATTATATGCGTAAGACACTCATTAAAAAAAAGTTACATTATAATTTATGCTGTTAATATACCATTTTAATAAATTATGTTTAATATTATTATATTATATTATAATATTATAATTTTTAAAAATTTATTATCATATATCATTAAATACATATTAAAAAATAAATATGTTTAAAATTGATAAAACTAATATAAATATTAAAGTTCTTTTTTCAAATATTTAATACAATTAAATTCACAAAAATTTAAATATTATTAATTAAATTTAAATAACTTTTAATATATGTAACATTATATAACATAAATGTAACAAATTTTTATTAAAAATTATAATATTTAATTATATTAAATTTTATAATTCTTATCAAAAATTATTGTACATAATTTTTCATGTGTACAAAATTGCACATATTTAAAAAGTTAAAATTAAAATAATTTCTTATTAAATTATTATATAAGATTAACATATTAGGAAAATAAGAATACTGAAGTAAAAGAGCAAAAGACAAGGAAAACCATGTGCTATAAATACTGAAACGAATATGATAGGGTCTCTCTTGGAAGGAAACGCTTCTTCGAAAGCGTGACAGAGAACCTGCGAACGTTTCCTCTGTCTGGGGTCCATTGACCCTTCTACAAGCTCCTTAATTTCATGCTCTTCTTCCTCTCTCACTCTCTCCCACATCACCGTTTCTTTTGTTTCTGTCTTTGTGTGGTGTCACCTTATTCACACCTCTCTCTCTCTCTTTCTTTCTTTCTCTCTCTCTCTCTTTCCTCATCAATTCTTTAAATCCCTGTCTTTTGCCAAAGTTCATTAATTTTTTCTTCTATTGTGCCTCTGCTCTGTTTTCAAGCAAGCTTCTCCAATTTCCTCTTCTGGGTTTTTCTCTTTTGCCTATGGCTATGGCTAATTGGAGAAAACAACAAGCTGAGAGTCATCATCATGTGGGTCACTGGCGATCCTCCTCCTATAACAGAAAGCCACCTTTGGGTTAGTACCTTTTTTTTCTCTTTTGGTTTGGTTTCTGTGAGTGAGTGCCCATAATTGTTTTTTAGAGTTGTTGCATGGATTGCTCTTTTGGTTTCGTTGTTCTTTTTTATTTGTTTTGAGGCAGGTTTTATAAAGTGGGTGAGTGGTGGAATCGATAAACATATCGTGATCGCGTTGCGTTTGAATGGTTTCAATTGGGGTTTTGGTTTGAGAAAGTGGGATTTCCTTATTTATTTATTTATTTATTTTTAAAATGATGTGTATTTAATGAGTAATTATGGTTTTTCAGCTTTTCTGTGCGTTGGGATGGGTTTCTAATTTTGTGCAAGTCATGTGTTTCTAGGAACTAGCTTTAATTAGATAGATGTATGTTGAATTTGATTTAATTTTATTTATTGTTATTTTTCATAGGGTGAGTTATGGTTTGATGGTGCTTTTATGAAACCCCTGCCTCTTTTGTGAGAAGAGGCTCTGAGGTTAATAATTCAAGGCTTAAAGTTACTTGGTTGTGTGTGACTCTAGTGGGGTTATGATGGACGACTTAGGTTTCATTTCCTTGTCAACAAAAGTAGCTAAGAGCTTCAACAATTGAAGGGAGGGCCTCTAAGGTTATCATCTAGTGCTGTCATTTCTTTGGTTGTTAGGTTGTAGTTCGTTGGTAGTATTGGTCTAATTGGTCCTGACGTTGTTGAATTATTGAAATGGATAGGGCTTTATAACTAAGATTCCTTTTGTAGTGGATCTTCTGCAAATTCTGCTTTGTAATGATTTTTGTTTGTGATTTTGCTTTGAGCCCAAACTGTGTATGATTGAGCAATTTTGAAGTGGATGTTTAGTAATTTCATCTTTTGGTGCACATTGTAAACAAAACTTTGCCTCATTAAATTGGTGAAGCTTTGGGGAAACTAAGTTTCCTTTTATAGTCTCTTTTCTACATGTAGCATTTTTCATTTTTGTCACGTTTCAAACTGTAAACTGTGACATTATTTAATTGAGATAGAGTCATGCAAAGATAACGGAATTTCTTGTATAGTTTATATAAATTCTTATAATAATTCGATGTGTCGTGTTCTGAACTGAAACTGTCAAGGTATCTAATAACAGAATCTTTGGAGGCATGTTTGAAACAAATTGCTGCACCATTCAATTATTGAATTGGAAAGCTTAGCAATTGATCTTTTGTACATTCTGAACTTTAAAAATGTCGTTTGCACCGGGTTTTGAACTGTAGCTGTCTGGACTTTGCCTATAACTAACTAGATATTTATTAACTGAATCTTTTCAGTGACATTTTTAATTGAACAAACATACTGAGTAATTATTGCTCTAGATATCATTTGGAACTATTGATACTTTTTCTCCACAAATTTCTCCCCTTTTCATTCCTTTGCCACGTATGTTAGAAGCATATGCACGGTATTATGAAATTGAATGTATGAATAATTCATGATCACATGTGAAGTGGAAAATATCTGTGAAAAGTTGAAAATATCTGTGTTATTACTAAAGCAGTTTTCTTTGTGGATAGCCCTTTTACTTCAGATTCATTTTGTGTGTTATGTCTTCATATAGATTTCTGATGTAAATTCTCTTATGAAAATATATTCATTTTTTTTTCTGAGGCCCTTTCCTGTCTTCCAATTTACATATTGTTTCTCAGCTTTCCTTTTGTACAAACCATGTTTTTTATTTTTAGACTGCAAGACACTATTTTTATTGTTATATAGTCTTGGTATGATAGTAGGCCTTCCTTAAATTATCAGCTGATTTCTTTTTGTTCTCGGTTCACAGATACTTGGCATTCTACAGTGCCTTCTTGGGAAAAGAAGTTCTGTTTTACAGTTGGCTCAGTTCCATGGAGAAAGCTAATCGAAAGCAAGAAGTATATGTATCTGCATGACAATGTGATAAACTGGGATGACTCGGCTGTCAAAGAGGCATTTGACAATGCTAAAAGTAGGTTTTGGGCTGAGATCAATGGCCTTCCCTGCAACATATCATTGCCTGATCCCAACAGTTACATTGACAATGTGGATTGGAATTCAAGTGTTGACCCTGAACTTGTTCTGGACTTGGAAAGAGAAGTAAAGGTCCCTAGTGAGGGAGAGAGAGACGAGGAGGTTGTGATTCTAGGTAGTCCTTTCCTCTTGAATCAGCAGTCATTTTCGTGCACTGGATGGGGCGATGATGAAGCAGTAGTACCAAAGGCTTCTGATCCAAATTCTGCTGACCAAGGTTGGGACTCAAATGTGCATGAAAACAATGGAGTAGACTCTTGGGAACAGCACTATGCTCCTGTTGAACAAGCAAAAGAATACGAGTGGCAGCACCGTCAGAACGATTTGTGGGGATGGAATCAGAGAGAGCATTTTGGTGGTGACATGCACAAACTGAGCAAAGGAAGAAATGGTGGGAATGGGAATTGGGGTGCATGGGATGGGTATAACAGAAGGAGAGAAAACATGTCATGGTCTAAGAGTCATGCATATAATGGTAATGAGTATCATGTGAATAGAGGGAGAAGAAACAATAGAGGAGGAAGGAGGGGAAGTTTTGCTTATGACCGTCCTTATGTGGACAAGGTACCTAGTCCTACTGCATGGTAAATGCATGTAAAGGCTTAAGGATCAAGGACCCTAGACTGTAAGGACTCCAATGAAAGTGCTGGAGGGTCAATTTTGTGAAGGTAGTTGAAGATATAAGTTTTGTTATCTTAGTAAAATGTCATATAAGGTAGAATATATAAGAAGTTGGGACAGCTTTTTTTCAATTTTAATACATTTGTATGAAAGATTTATGATCTGTTTCCGTGTTACTAGTTTAAGAATTGTCCCTACCGTAGTGAGAGGGTTGTGTATATACAGATAAATGTGCAATGACAACTCTAAATGAAGCTAAATTGTTGATTCTTGTCTCCTTGATGACCCGTGCTACTTTTCTTATTCATGATTTCATCTATGATCCGTTTACATTTACTTTAGGGGAAAATTAATTTTTGATATAAATGTTTAAGCAAAGAAATATGCCTATTTGTGAAGAAATATTAGTAACATTTTTTTAAGTACTCTTTTAAACACACATTAATTTGTCAAAATTTATTGAAAGGTAACAAAAATTATGTGATTTTTTTTTTTAATTTAATAATTGTCACTCTTAGTAATTTACAATAAATTTTAGGTAATAACTGAAAATGGGTTAAAAGGAGTTATAGAAAGTATGTTATGCAACACTCCTTTTAGTTGACAAAAGAAAATTAACTCTTAAACATTTTTTTATACAATTTTCCCTTGAATTATTTATTTATTAATATTTTTAAAGATCAAACTTAATTCTTCGTTAAGTTTTTTTTTTGTCTAATTATTTTTATTATGTTTTTATTTTAATATTTGTAAAACTACTAATGTATTTAATTAAATCAATTGAATTATGATTTAAAAGTTTTGTTAAATTGCTCTTTCATTCAAATTTTAAATCATTCAGTATTTAGTGGTCACAATACTGCAGTTGTATTACAATTTATTTTAACATAAATAAATAAATATGTACGTTACATGAAATAGAAAATAGAAGAAAGGTCGAATGTTTTCTTAGAATTTTTAATAAATTTTGATTCAATGAAGTTATAAGGTTAGTAAAGTTCGAAAAGATACATTAAAAAATTTATACTAATTCATCTTCAAATTTAAAAACTTCTTTCAGTCCTCACGTTGTATTAATAAGTATCTCACAGTTAAGTATTTTTATAATAGTTTTTTCAAGCTTATACTACCCAAAATATTATTTTTTAACACTACATCTTCAAGTAAAAACAAATTACACTAAAAGTGTTTTTAAAAATGCACCTCTAGACAAACAATAACATTTTTTTACAAAGAGAAATATATTCAAAAAGAATAAAAGTTTAAGAAAGATTGATTCTAAAGAGTATTTTTTATGCACTTCTAAGTAACTTCTTATCCTTCGGTACCATAGTGTTTTTAATTTGTAAATTTTAAAAAATGTGTATTTTAGAGACTTTATTTATTTATTAAACACATTAGATTACTTTTTTTATAATCTTTTGATGTGTTCATGTCCTTTTCGTACTGAATATACTTGTAGGCTTATACTAATGACTTTTTCTTCTTTTTAAAGTAATATACAAATAGAAAAGTGTGAAAAGTTCATTTTTACTTTTTCTACATAATTAATTATTTGTTTTTTTTTATGTCTATTTTAACTTTATCAAGTCAACTTTTTAGTATAATTTCATATGTATTTGATGTTCACACTACTATGCATGAGTAAATAGTGTGTCATCTATGTTAACATTGCTATGTTTTGACGACGTTCTTCAAATATTGTATAAACATATTGTTTTTAATTATTTATAATCATACTGTCAAATAAATGACACTGGAATATTTAAGTAGTCTAATTTATTTAAGATAAAAATATTTTTCATCCATTAAAACTTAGATTTTTTGTCTTTTTAAAAACTTGCTTTAATATTATACATAAGCATTACATTTAAGACTTTTAATATTTGATTTGAGGGCATGCTTCACATACATGTTATCAAATAGAAAATGTGTTTTTGTAGGAGGACATATGTATGCTTGAAAATTTTTAAGTTAACATAATATTCATTTATTTTTGTTTTTCTATTACTCTCTGTTTTTTATGGCTAATGTTTTTATAAAAAAATTATAATTTTAAATTTTATAAAAAATAATTACTTACTTTTTGTTATACCCTTCATCCACTTAATATAATTCAAAATGTACATGCTAAAAGAAGTATGTATGTAAATGTTATGTGCTTGAAAAATCTTAAATTAACTTGAATCATTTATTTTCAGATTTTCTATCACACTCTCCGCATTTTTTATAGTTAGGATTTTTATATAAATTAAGAAAATAATTAATATTCTATATTTAATAAAAAATCATTATTTAACTTTTTATCATACTATTTATAGACATTAATTAATATCTTACTTATTTATTATCATTACTAAATAAATATTAACTATTTATTAATTTTTATAAAATTGTTAAAATAAGAGAACAACCTAATGCTTAAGTGTTTAAGTCAAAGCATATGCTCACTAAGGACTGTGCATTCAAAATTAGGTGTGCTTTTAGTTTGGTATTTATAAAATTGGTTTTAGGTTAATTTTTTTGGCAGAAAAAAGTAAAGAAATAAATAAAAGGAAAAAAGGTAAAAATTACAATAGCAAATATAAGATTTCTCTTACATCATCCTAAAGAAGTAATCTCAAGTCTGCAAAAGGCGAGACTTAATCTTTGAAACCACAATATGAAAAAACTATCAATTTAGTTAAAGAATATGCACGTGTTTTGACGCAGGATGTGTTTGATGTTGATTTGTTAGTCTTTTTCTTAGTCACTCCTTTATATTCTAAATAAAATTAACATATTTGTGAAAATATAGAATAATTTTCATCACAAGATTTAAGACCTTCATCGCATTAGAGTAATACAAGATATATTTAAGATTTAGATTTCAAAAGTCATTTTCAACTGTTGAAGCATGGCAATGAGTTGAACATGAGTATTGTCAGAAATGTTAATGAATTCATAAGTTCCTCTAAATCAATTTTCATCCTTATTTCTAATAAAAGTACTGAAATTAGTTCTTCGTGAGCTCTTCCAAGCATTCAAATGAGCTTGAAATTGTTGTACTTATTCGCATAATTTTATAGTTGGTAAGATTATAATATCAAGCATAATTTTATAAATTGATATATTTTTTTAGCAATGCAATTAATATTCCTGACCCTCCATATTCACCATAATGTAGCTAAAAATAAAGAGGAATTACTTTTATGTTAAGTCATAGTCCAGTTGTTGGTATCAAAGGAAGTTGAAAATCATTCATTTCACACACCTACATGAATCCAAATTTCTTAAGTTGTCAAATGGTCTCTAATACAGTGAAGACTGTCTTTAATGTAAGTGTGACATCTTGAACAAATGAGTAAAGGTCTTAAGTTCTTATGATACCTTAAGTAATTTGTGAAAGAAGCATCACAATAAATAAGACAAATTAGAAATTTAATATTTTATGCATAAAGAAGACATCAGATCAAATATATTGGTAAAAAATTTTATACTAACAAACTAGTTAAAATTGTGTTTAGCTGTATAACTTATTTTCAAATTGCTTAACCAAATAAATTTGTTGTCAACATGACTATTAATTGATAAGTTAAATTAATAAATGATAGAAGTAATTAATATTGTTATCCAAGTAACAATTTGAGAAAAATTTTACCCATATTAAGTCTAAACATCTTTAACATGCAATTTTATATCTTGAATGTTGATATCAAAAGTATGAAGTGATCTATATTAAAAAAATCTTAAATTTAGGAATATATTTTTAATTTAATACAAAAAGTATAATTTATTATATTAATTAAAATAAAAATTTTAAAATAAAAATACTTTTATTATAAAATTATCAAACAATGTACAAAACTCTTAACAATGCCTATATCTTTAAATATGATTTTAAGGTCTTTCAACATGTATGTTATACAATTTATCTCTTCAAATTTTAAAAAAATTAGACAAGGAACTTTTTAAGAAATAAATAACATTGTTATTTTTAATTTATGAAAAAATTTATTAATTTTTATACTTATTTTTTTAATAAAAATTTTCTACAAAAATTTAACAAAATTGAATCTCGACGTGTGTTTGTTTTGTGCTAAAAATAACAAACATAGATCCCATTTCTTGAAGCTACTCTATGTGGCATTAATATGAACGTGTGCTCATTGAGTTAAAACGCAAAACCAAACATGATCATTTATGATGAATTTGAATTTTATTATTTGTGGTTTCATTTTTTAATGAATTTTTTAAGAAATTAAATATTTTTAGTGACGTTACAACTTGACAACCAATTAGGATTTGATTGGAGCATGTTTGGTTTGGATTGAGTACAAAAGATTTGTCTTGAAGTAACCTAACCCAATCTCATTTGTTTAGTTTGGATAAATTATTTTCTTAAACTCTAGCCATCCCCATTCCTAATACTCACATGACTAACTTTTATAAAATCTTAACATTTATATTTTTTATTTAAAAAAAGTCTTTTTTAAAAATAGAACCAAACATGTTTTAATTCTCATTTCATGCTCTCCAGCATCATTTCTTGATACCTCTGCAATTTTATTTCTAATTAAGACTCCTGTAACAAGAAGGAACCATCAATAACCTTAATTAAGTGTCTTGCTAACCAAAAGACTCCTACCACATTGCCATAATCTCACTTGCTAAACACTTTGACCTTTTATTTTTCAGCTTGTGGGAGGAAGCACATTTCCTCTTTTTGATGCACCAAGCAATCACAGTCAAACTTTAATTGGGATGAAGGGATGAAGCAAAGAAAACCTAATCCAACTAATAGTCCAATAATCACAAACTTGGTTGGCTTATTAGATTGCTTTTTTGGTTTTTTATAAGTTTATTAGATAAGGTTTTAAAAATTTAGAAAAAGAGAGTTTTTTTTTATTTCAATAACAATTTTTTTTCAAACTTTATGTAAATTTTATTTTTTAACTAGATCATATTATTTAGTAATGAATAATCGGTTCATAAAGAATTAGTTTGTAGTTAAGTTGGATAAGACATATTTAGTAAAGTCACAAAATAAACTAAATAAAAGTAAAAGAATTAGTTTTTAATTGAAATGTTGATTATGATGTTATATAAATTCTTTTTAAAATAATTTGAATCTAAAATAAAATACATTTGTTGGGAAAAATACACTGAATTTTTCATGAAGTCGGATCTGTGAAAGTAAAATAAAAGCGAAATAATTGGACACACCAAATTGATAACGGAGTTCGGCCAATAATGCCTACGTCTCCGAACTACTGCAAATATTTTACTAGGAGAAAA